TCATGGGAACTGTTCTAATAGGCCTAAGTAAGGCTGCTAAAAAGATGATACATAGTACCACTGGCATTATAATAATAATAATAATAATAATACTGGTTTATTTCTTTCATACTATGCTGTACAGAGTAGCAGGGTCCCCGCAGGGCCCTGAATTGATCTGCCGCATTACAAATTGTTAAAAACGGTTGGCACAAACATTAAAAGCAATTATTAAAGACAGTTAAAAACAGCAATTATTAAAAGTATTTACAATAGGTGGCGATCAGAGCATAGGTGGCATTCCAGAGATTTTGTCAAATAATATCAAGGTCAAGGAAGCAACGTTCGGAGTCTCTCCGTGAAGACGGATTTGAGCTGGACTGTCTCGGAACAATCCGCAATCAAACTGAAATAGATTCTAGTTTGGACTAGGGCAGATTGTGATGCGATTATTGTAATATGTACTATCAGAATACCGATTTTAATCTGTCCTCAGTCCCAACTCTACTGTGAAGTTGAAATTCATACCGCAGTTCCATATCATTCCTATAGGTGGCGTCTTCTTTGCCAAGAAGCTGCGATCAGCCGGCTTCACGACCTTGTTCGACCCCTTCCAACAGAAGTTCGGCAGGTTCATGTGCGTGCTGCTCTACATCCCGTCCGTGTTGTCGGAGATATTCTACTCAAGTACGATCCTTGCAGCTCTGGGGACAACGCTTAGCGTTATTCTCGAGCTCGGTAGGTTGTCATTTATGTAAACATTCGATATTGATATATTGATTATGAGACCATAATGCCATTAACCAGCCAACAGTCCTGGTTTATGGGTTTCAATGAGTGGTTAATTTCGGTGGTTATAGGAACCATCTAGGCTTTATGTCACCAAAAAACAGGGAGGAAAGCTTTAAGGGCGGGACGTAACCCTTTGAATAGCGGAATAACAGCAAAAGATATAGCCTCTACCAGGTTTTGGGTTGCGGTAATAAACTGTTCTCTCCAGCAGACCAACTCCCCCGGCATGCTATCTCTCTATTCGGCCGATTTCTACTCTTTCCAGCCGCCTCCTCTAGCCTGGTAGTTGCTACAAAAGATGCATAACAGACAAGAGTCTGCCCCAGTTGTTTCTGATGATTTGGTGGCCATAACCTGATGTTTGTGTCCTCTAGACTTGAGGGTCTCCATCCTGATCTCCACGGCCGTTGCCGTACTGTACACGTTACTGGGAGGGCTGTACTCAGTCGCCTACACTGATGTGCTTCAGTTGATCCTCATCTTCATTGGTCTGGTGAGAAAACACGCGTTACTTTCTTTTCATTCATTATCGACCACTGGCAAAACAATTTCGCTGAACGTGGTTCAAAATGAAACTAAAAACTCAACTGAAATAAGAGAGAAATTGAAAAAATAAATGAATAGAAAAGGCTCATGCAAAACAATCGATGCCTATGACGATCTTCTGTAACATATGATGTTGTAACGGTATGCCCCATCTTTAGTGGCTGTGTATCCCGTTCGCCATGACGCACCGTGCAGTGGCGAGCATCACCGCGGACACGTCCTGGCTGGGGCGGTGGGACAGCCGACTGGCCGCCGTCTGGGTCGACCTGACGCTGATGATGGTAACGGCGCGGTCACATTCGTTGTAGACCGTCTGACTATTTTGACGTCGAAATAAACGTTTTCAAGTAGGCTGTGGCAGAACCAAACGCCGACAAGGATCTAAGATAGTAACAAAACAGTTTTGTACAACCAAGGACATTGTACACAATGTCCCCGGTACACCACATGCATGACTTTCCCAAGAATGCCTTTACTTTGCTGTCCTGACTACGGTCGTGCGACGAATGTGACGGTGCCCTAGTGAACTGTAATATTCCTCTCAGACCTTTTGTTTGCTGTAAACCTGTAAAGATTTCGTATGTCTCACAACTGGCATACTTCACAACATAGTAACATTACATGATCTATGTTATTACCCTGTGTTATTGTGTGACAGTTGTTATTTTGTATTGATGTATGTTGCATGTTAAGGACCACAGGCACAGCAAGAATTGCTGAGATATCATGCCAAATTGTGGATCCTAATATAAAGTCAAATCAAAGTCAAAGTCTGTAACTAACCTTTAGTCTCGTCTCGGCGGTTTGTTCCTTCACAGGCCCTGGGTTCCCCCGCCATCCAGCCGTACGTGCAGCGGGTCCTGGCGGCGCGCAGTGCACGTGAGGCCCGACTCTTCTCCGTCTTCGGCTGCTTCGGGTGCCTTTTGCTCGCCGCACCGCCTGTTCTCATCGGCGCTATCGGAGCGTCAACTGGTATGCTTATCCTTGTTGGTAATGTCTTACTTAAAGCTAATTCTGCTTTTTGTACACAAGGATGACCCCAAAAGACATCCATATTCTTTCCTTATTGTAGATAGCAATACCTGTTTGATTGTGTAGCCTACAAACAGTTGAAGGCCTCTTTTTTTTTGGCGTGTGTTACAGACTGGAACCAGACTGCCCTACGTGTCCCTCCTGTAAATGATACAGACAAAATCGCACCCTTGGTCATCCAGTATCTCACACCCACAGGTCAGTGTACGCACTTTTTACAGCTACATTTTCTATTCAGCTGTCTCCACGATTGAAACGGTTATATTGTGTATCACCCCGTATTTGCGGTTTTACCTGCCAGAAAGAGAAGTAGATCGTACAGGTTTCTTTACTCGATATCTCCAGGCTTTTCACACGATAAACCGTTTGCCGTCATCCCACGGTACATTCAACCCTAGAATGAATCGACCTTGCCATGTATTAATGCTGTTTCTTTGTGAAAAGAGCACCGATGAACGTTGGTGTTGCAATGAGGGAGCAATCAGCTTCGGTTGCATGGATCAAAAGCGGTCTCTGTTAATCACTGTCTGTACTGCTAGAGAATGGTCATCTTCATCATGTACCTGTTTTTCTCCCTGTGATTGCAGCGGTATCCGTGGTGGGGTTGGGCACGGTGTCTGCTGCAGTCATGTCGTCTGTCGACTCCTCCATTCTCGGAGCCGCAAGTGTGTTTGGGCGGAACATCTACCAGGGTATACTAAGGCCCAAGGTAAATGTTAATACATGTCTTCAATAAAGTACAATCACCATTATAGTTTTCTGGGCCAATCGATTAGTCGTCATGCACTGGTATAGGACAATTTTGCGTTTATGTGAAGGTGCAATCAGCACCAAGGACAGGGCTGGTTTTATCATAGAGTAAACCAGATCACAGTGTACTAGCATGACTATTCCCACAAACAATCAGCGTTCTTAAAGAATTTAAACAGACCTGTTACGCTGTGCCCCTGGGAATCTGCTCATTATCCGCTATTTTGTGGGATCAGTGGAATGAAAAATGATGATGATGATGATGAAACATCTCTTAGTTGCGGTACATGGCTAGAGCAATGTCCCTCAATATGTCCAATGTGAGAATATAGCTCCAACGCTTGATGTCGCTCAATTTCATTCCAATCAGGCTTCTGAAGTAGAAGTTGTGTGGTTAGTCCGTTTTTCCGTCGTCATCATCGGCGCATGCGCGGCCCTGGTGGCTCTGACGTCACACACCATCATCGGGCTGTGGTACCTGTCATCTGAGCTGGTTTACGTCATCCTGCTGCCTCAGGTCGTCTGTGTGCTGTTTGTCAGGTACGGTGTTTTTTTTAACCTCCTCGGTCCTAATTACTTCTGTTCGTTTTGGCAGATACGGCCTTGACAGACCCTTACGTTATATGCCCTTGGGAAAGACACTTAACATAACACGAATGCCCTCACTACAGTCAGGTAGACATGAGTACCTGGTTCGAGTTAGAGCTCTCGGCTTTAAGACATAGTAGGTCCCATGAGGGGAAAGAGACGAGGCGATGGGGGGGGAGGTGTTTGAATTTGTGTGTGTGTGTGTATGTTTGATAGTTTGTGTTTGTGTGCGCGCGCGTGTGTATGTTCGCTTGTTTTTAGACT